TGTTGTTTTATATTCAGTTTGTTTAGTGTTGTCAATACAATGACATACACTTCACGTGGCAAATTGTTGATTCAATTGTGTTTGAAGGGTGCTATTAACAGCGAGAATAATACCCTCAGTGAGTTTTTATTATTCCTCATATTATTATGTTAATAATGAAGTATCATAACCTAAAGTGATAATAACAAGTTGTTGATGAATGATAATACGCCTTTACGTTCTACTAAAGGTTTTATGAAATAAGATTAGTTTGGATTTTTCATCTCCAGTTATAAAAAAAGTCAATTGGTAGTCGGAAAAAAATATTTTTCGGTTTGATAAACAGTCAGGTCAAAAGACTGAACTCAATTTTAACAAGGGCTGAAACTAGTCTCATTTAATTCAGTAGAATGTGAAGACGTATTTTCATTCACAAACAACTTTTTATTGAGTCAGTTTTACTTCTCAAGAATGATAACCAACCATTCTGAAGTGAAAAATCAATTACGTTATTGACAGGTTACAATGGTAAACAGATAGACAAATAAAATGTGATAGACAAATAAAATAATGATGAAAAAACTTTTAAAACAAGCTTTCATTCAAGTGCCTGAAAAGATCAAAATGAAATTTTGAATCACATTAACCACATTCATTTATGACCTTACAGAATTGAAATTATTATAAAAGCTTGTCGCGATAATTTCAATTTGTAATTGAAATTCTGTTATTACGTAGGCACCTACTAAACTTGTAAGCAATTCATAATGTTTGTAATTGAATAAAAGTGAGGTGAATGCTTGAAATGAGGAATTTTAACCTTGAATAACTTTTTCGCACACATAGGATTTATCGGATTTGAAATTTATTGTAGTACATAGTTGATCTGTCAGAATGTTTCTTTATTTACATTTCATCCTACTGAATATGTAGATATTTGTTCTAGGCATCGCGACAAGTTTGTATCATAATTTCAATTCTGTAGAATCATAAATGAATGTGGTTAATGTGATTTAAAATTTTATTTCGATCTTTTTAGGGCACTTGAATAAAAGCTTGTTTTAAAAGTTTTTATCATTATTTCATTTTATATTTTTTAGTTTCAATCGATACTTATCGATCAATACGAAAGCCCATCTATAAAACGGAGAGTCCTTCGAAAGAAAAACTTAAGGAATCAATGCTAATGACGCTCATCTCACCAAATTACACAAGTCATGGTATGCCTCTTGTGCCTCACATTGCGTGATGGACCCTCTTACTCTGGGAAGTTAGAGGGTGGCAGATAATAATATTTTTTCACAATGCAAATGAATATTGGATTTTACAACCTACTACACCATCTATTGCCTTCTTTTTAGGGTCGAGAAGAAGGTATTTGAAGGTAAAAGCTTGATTTTTTTTTCTAGAAATATATTTTTTTTATTGAAGCCAACTCTGGATGTGGCATCTATTTCATAATGGGCCTACCAACTGCCTATCATAAACGAAATTGTATATGAAATTTCGTGTCAGGTCACGTTTATGATTACATGCATTGTCATCGGTTCTGGACCAGCATGCAGAATTTCAGGTCAATCGGGTACCGGAAAGTGGGTCAAATTAAATTTGCAAGATTTGTTAACATACATACAAGGCAAGTTGAATGAAAGCTTTTAATAATCAGTAAAAACAATTCAGAATGCACCAGCCTTGAAAATCGGAGATGGACATTCCACATGTGAGGCAGAGGAGCCTCCCACTTCAAGAAACGAAAATGGATAAAACGTTGAAGAGATGGAAACAGTTTCTCACAACGATATTGATCAAAGCAACAGTGAGAGAGAATGTGAGTAATCTCTAGATTCACAAAGTAAAATCAGTCGTAAGTACCGATGTTATCTATCTAGAATCAATGAGTATAATCTTAGTATCATGACCTATCATGATAAATTCTGAATATGATTTGCAAACTTCTATTTTCCTATAGATAGAAACATGAAACATTTTCATCACGTCCAATAAAAAATACGCGAATTGATAATTTTATAAGACTTTTTGGGTAAAAAAAATGATTACGCATCCTTTGGTTGTTTGGAATACATTTTCATATAGAGGGAAAATGCATTCCAAGCAACCAAAGATTGCGTCAGAATTTTTTTTGCCCTAAAAGTTTCATAAAATTATTAACGCACGTATTTTTCATTGGAGATCATGAAAATGTTTTGTTGAAGTTATTATAAAAGCAATGTTGAGTCATAAATTTGTCTTTGTATCATATGTATGTATATGTTAGTTTGCATGAATGTCAAGAATTGATTTATGAAAATAATGGCATTTTTGCTAGGTCTCCAAATCAAGTTCGTAGCTGGATAATAGCAGAAATCAAAAGGAGAAAAAGTGGTATGATTCCTTATAGTAAATCCAGATTTTGCAAATGCAGTCTGAATTACAGTTGGGGAGGATACAGAAGTTATTCTTCATATTTATTGGTTTTTATTTCCATGAAAGGAAAAAAATAATATGAAAGGCAAGTTATTAAATTTGTCCTGGATTGTTATAGCGTTTGAATAAACTTTTGATTAAGATTAATTCAATTTATCATTACCATTTCTCATAAATTTATAATGAGAAGTATTACTGACAAGTTTGATGTTTTACCTGAATTTAATTCAAACCTAGTAACCCTTCATATTTAATCTATTTAAAATGTTAACAATTAACTGATGCTGAAAATAAACCTAGTATAACATTAAATTTTGTGAATAATGGTATGACATTTCTGTTCGATGAGATAAGATATGAGATAGGAGGCACTGTAGTGGACAGGGTGAGGAACCCAGGTATAACATCATCTATTAAAGGATACATTTCCTATACAAGTAGCGAATGTGATAGATATAATAATGCCTGTTGGAATCATTTGGAATATCCAAAAGTATCCGATTCGAATGGATACTTCAACGTCTACATCCCCCTGAAACACCTTTTGGGTTTCTGTGAAGATTTCAAGAAAATAATCGTAAACATTCGCCAAGAATTGGTACTCATTAGAACAAGTAGTGACGTAAATTCTGTAATATCAACAAAGGATAATGAAAAACCTAAAGTTAATTTAACTAAAATTCTCTGGAGAATTCCTCATGTTCAAGTTTCCGATNTATTTTTTTTTTTTTTGTTCGATAAAGAACCCCACCCGTCTCCACTGAGCAAGGGTATGTTCAGAAAGGATTAAATATTTTGCTGCTAACGGCCAACCAAGCATCGCAAAGCGTTGTATTCCTTGGTTCCGAAGGTCGGCAGTAGCAAGTCACATGCAGCATGATTTCAAATATTTATCACGTTAGCAAAACATACCATTTTTGTTCGCTCTTATTACAAAGCACTTCCGATTTTGATTCGATGGCACTAGTCGACAATTCTTAGACACCAATCTTGTAAAGATACTGGTTGTATTTTATGAATTTTACTTTTTAGGTTTCTTCAGTAAACAAAATAAGTTTTACAATATTTTTCAGAGCAATGATTGTTGTTTTCCTTGGAAAACATTGTGAAGCTTGCATGTTTAAGAGTTTTTAATTTTTCAGAGTAACTGGTACAATATGTTTTAGAAAACTATTAAAAACGTATTTAGCAACACTTTGGTGTTTGATTATTACACATCAGTTAACAGAACTGCAAAAATGTGTTTTATTAAATGCAATAGCCTTATTCAGATATGTTGAACTTACACAGTGAAACAAGTGTTGCAGTTCTGTAAACTTTTTTGTTATCTTATGAAAAAGTTTTGTTGAATCATTTTATCATGGATTTGTCTCAGGTATCTGCCATTTCCATGTATATTAATGAAGTTTTTGGAGTTACCTGTTAGAAGATGATTTCACTTTTCTGAGATGGTTTTTTATTGTTAATATCTCCTATTTAAATAAATACATGTGCATGGACTTTATACTAAAATAAAAATTCATTCGCTAATCAATATAAGACTTTGAATCTTGTTCTAATTTTCACCAAAGTGCTAGTTACTAATAATTACAATTCATTGTCGCATTTTCAGGATTATTAGAAATTATGGTATTTTCATAACATGCAATGTGTTTCTTTTATTATTCAAAAATAAATTTTACGTTTTAGTCGAGACTGACTGGTTATTTTTTTGAGATTTAATTTTTAAATTAATTCACTGCACATTATGTAAACAGTCTAATAAAGTGTTATAAAAGTGAAAAAAGTTTTTATCCAGGTTGGCCCCTATGATATGATTTGTATATTACAATTCAGGTATCAGTTTGAACTGATCACTATGATGTTACTTTTCCACTCCTTTGGAAAACAAAACTATTGGAATGAAGTAAACTAATTTAATAGGAATTACTTAGAAAAAAATAACTGTTATTCTTCTTCAACCTCATCGTCACATATCTGAAACAGTAAAATTAATAAAAATTAGTAAAAATATGTTATTTTAAGTGACTTCAGAGAGATGTAGGTTGAAAATAGCCATATGATAAATGTAACTATGGAAATTTTTTTCCAAAAGATTGAGTCTCATAAAAATTTACCAAAGTTCATCGAATTCTCAATTAAATCTTTGCACTCAGACAAGTATGTGTTTAATCTTCATGAAACATTTCAATAAATAATATCTATAAAACACTTTAATGTGAGAAATTCTCAAAGCAAAGAAGTTTTACAAAACCAAAAAGCTAAATAGATGGCCACATATAAAAAAGGTGAAAGAGGTCTATTCTATTTCAACCAATTATAAATTATGCAAAAGAGTCACACACTCAAAGATTAGATTTTCATAGTAAACTAAACTATTTCATTAAAAAGTCAGAAGCAGATTCAACTTTCTGTCCTGAGAGAAAAAAGGGTAGATGATCAATTCAAAATTTGTGCACAATGAAATTATTTCATTTTATTATATGAATTCCTACAATTTCATGTAGATATGGTTACTACGTCCATTGAACACATTTTGTATACTCGTCTGGGTCCTAGATAACTCCTTTAGAATAAAAAATAATCACTCACTTCTTAAGATAGCCGTCACCGCCATAAACCATTAATAACACTTTTTGCCCTGTCCAGGAACACATCATTGCCAATTGATCCTTGAAAAGAGTTGGCCGTAATTTCATTAAATTTTCATAATCTGATCCCCCCGACCAGCATTAGTTTGTTGAACTATAAAAAATCAAAATTAGTTAAAGAATAAATAATTAAATATAACATACCTTCTCGGGAAATTTACCATACTCTTTGACACTCTTTGACTAATATCATATATCACCACAGTCATATCACCGTCACCTCACCATAAAATAAACTTAACCTATAACCCCTTTCATCTCGTGTCGTAGTGCTGTTACGGAACTCACCTATGAACACAGAATAGAGGAATAGGACCTACTCGATTTGGAAATGGCACTATTGAATAATGAATACGTTTTTCAGGATTGCAAAAAATTGAAAATATACCTATCACAGTAAAGTAAACAATATGTCATTTTATCTGATGAAATGAACATGTGAAAAATATAATTCAATGTAATAGATATATTTTCAACACATTATAACAGAAATATAATAAAAGCCAATTACATTTTTCGAATGTATGTGTAACATCATATATAAGTGACTGAAGAAACATTTTTCAGAATTTATGGAAATAAATATTTTAGATGTTCATTTAGCAAACATTTATGAAGGAAGTTAGCACAACATGGAACGTATGTTGGTGTTAGATGAATGTTTCCTAGTGGGTAGCAGAAGATGCGTCCAGCGAGAGTATTTTTAGTTTTTTGTAACTGATGAGTAAATTATATCAGTGATGTCCAGTGAATAACTCTTTCAAGTTGTGATATTAAATTTCATCAGCTACACGAAAACTGACAACACTCGAACTCAACACATATTTCATTACTAACCAAGTCAATATCTTCAGGAGAAAAACTGATACAGTGTCAATTGTATTACCTATTACCTAACACTTTCAAGTTACGATATTATTTTGAATATGTTTATAAAGTCCTATATTTGCAAGTATTTCTAGTTTACCGTTTGGGTAGGTTCCAGTCATATCGACTGTCGAGAACTATATAAACGGTTTTGCAATTTCAGTAACCACCCTTTACGAAATTCTAATCTGACTGTAGATGGTTTCATGCCTAAATTTCCACTTGGACTGAAAAAAGCTCCTATGAACACTGAGATAGAGAACCTACTCGATTTGGACACGGTAGTATTGAATAATGAATACGTTTTTCAGAATTGCAAAAAAATAGCCACAGTCCGTCGTGTATGTATCGCTTTTATTGGGATCAAATGTGTCAAGTCACTTGAACACCTCCCGTGAAATTATCTATAAAAGAGAGACAAACCTCCAACCTTTCTTCGATCTTTCAGACTATCGAGGTTGCAAGTGATTTTTGTCTCTTCAATCAGGCGAATGGCTCTTCTCTGGATGGAATCCAACAGCTTCAGGGTATGCTTAGGGGCGAAGCTCCGTACTTGAGAATAATACTTCAAAGAAGGTCTGATATGAGTTTTATAAAGCATCAAAAGTTGCTGAGGTATGTACAAGCTTTTGGGAAGCAGCCTTCGCAACTCCAGCCACATGATTGTGCCAAGACATATTGGTATCCATTTCATCGCCCAACAAACTTATCAAGCGGAATTGTCTGTCCTGACATTATTATATTCGGTTCGGAGAGATTTACTTTTCTGGAGAAAACCGATGCCTGGGTTTTCGTGTTATCGAATTGAACCTAGTTACTTTCACTCCAAATCTAAATCGCCTCTAGATCCTCATTAAGATATGGCGGTGAAGATGTGCATCTGCAGCCGATAGCAAATAGAATAACGGGACAAGTGTGCTGATCCTTCCTCGAGGTGAATTTTCATCTATTATTTATTTATTTACAGTCGCATCGACCTCTGGGGTCATTAGCGACTTGTCGATATATTACATGTTCATGGAAAAAAAACTTAGAGAGTATATATCAAATTGATATTTCTGAGGAAAGCTAATAGATTGTTGATATTACATTAATCTCTTAATATATCCTTTATTGATGGTGGGAAACCATAATTTTGTCTTTTTATCTTTCATTGTGATATATCACGGTGAGAATATGTTTGACACTTTGAAGACTATCACACACTTCCACATACTGGGGGATTTTCCTCAGGTAGTAGATATCCATGGGTGAGACGAGTGTGGCCTAGACGAATACGAGAGAAAATGACCTGGGCTTTTCTTTCATTGGGGTTGTTTTTGCAAGGAGATACTGACTGTTTTATCTCATGAAGTTTTGCTGACGAACTATTCCATTGTGATTGCCAACTGTTGATGATCGTTTGCTTGTATAGAGACTTCAGATCCGTATGAACAGCAAGTGACACAGTATCTGTTAGCGGGTTAGTAATTGCTTCTTTCGCTAGTTTATCAACTCTTTCACTTCCAACTATGCCTATATGTGAAGGGACCCACATAAACTGGATGCAAATATGTTTTTGATGTATTGAGTGGAGAGACTGTTTTATGAGATGCAAGATGGGATGATTGGTGTATAGTTGTGTAATTGCTTCGAAAGCGTTCAGTGAATCTGTGACAATCAGGCATTTTGGGACGTTCTTTTCCTCCATGTACTTTAATGCTCTCCAAATAGCATATAATTCACCTGTGAGAATGGTGTTTTCTTTCGAAAATTTAAATGAACAGCTGAAATCAGAGCTGGTGAAAGCTGCTCCTACTCTATCTTCCATTTTAGATGCATCAGTGTATAATGGAAAGAAGTCTTCGTATTGCTTCAGAAGTTGGTTGAATGCTACATTGAACATCCTGGGATTTGTATTCTTTTTGTCGAGTTGTAGCAGTCCATATTCAATGTTGGCTCCGGGGATTATCCAGGGGGAGTATTGGGCGTATTGGGAGTTGAGAAAATACTTGGTTGTTTGAGTTGGAGACTCGAAAGATACTGGTTATATCTTTGCTGAAAAGGAGGGTCTGCTCTGATTTTTTCTGCAAAAATATTTTTTAATCTCTGTGCTATTACATTGTGGTGTACCGGATTTTCTGGATTGGATATGATGGATGCTTCGTAGGTGAGGGTCATAAGCTTCCTTCTGTTCGCTGATGATGATTCACCTGCTTCACAATATAAGCTTTCCATTGGACTTGTACAAAAAGCTCCGAGCATAATTCTGATGGAGTTGTTGTGGATGGTATCCAGTTGTTTTAATATGGATTTTTTTGGCAGAGTTGTATACTATTGCCCCATAGTCCAATTTAGACCTGATCAGTGATCTATAGATTAACATTAACATCGAGGAGTCTGAACCCCAGGTTCGAGAGGCAACTGTTTTCAAGAGGTTGAGTCCATTCTGACAAGCCATTTTTAAATATTGGACGTGGAGTTTCCAGTTCAATTTTTGATCAAATATCAGTCCTAAGTCCTAAGTCAATATTTTGTTCATATATCTGTAGTTTGGGAGGGGTTGCTTTGGCTCTTTTAGAGAAATGAATACATTTGGTCTTTTTTTGAGATATTTTCAATCCAGTTGAAGAATACCATTTCTGTAAATTATTGAGGAAATTCTGTAAGTGGTTTTGAATGGTGACGACATTCTTTCCTCTAGCAAAAACTACAAGTCGATAATAAATTTGTAACATATCACGTTTTCCAAATTTGAAAACGGCGCCTTGCGTTTCAGTTAATTATCCGGCCAGTGTCGCTTTGGCATGACCTACTGTTCGAATCAAAATGAAATGAAACAGAATACTTATTTTTGACCAAAAATGTTCTTGTTTTCATCTTCTGCAATTGAGCCATTTGCTATTGAAATGTTATTTTCTTTGAGATGTATTTATGCATTGGAATATTTCAAAGAAAGAAGAGACACGCCACTGTTTTCATTTTAGTAGAGAACTTTTTCCAAATCCTCATACCATCCTGAGCAAATTTGAAAAAAAATTGTTTTTTTTCAAAAAAGATTAAGAATAGTTAAGAAACACCTTATCAGTATTCACTGCAACTGATGAATGCAATTATTTTCAGGTTTCCATTATGCTAGTGGATGAATCAGTTCAGACCAGTAGAGAAATGGAGAGAAAAGCGTTTGAAGATAGAGTTATCAGAGAAGGAATGCAATTGTGGAAAAAACAGAGGCAGTTCGAGAGCGAGAAGAAACTTCAAGAACAAAAAGAGGTTATTGAAATAAGAAAAATATTTTCATTGAATCAATTCAATTCCGGATCTTCCATAAAACGTCAAATATCATTTGTTTTAACTTTTTTTTCCACGAGTCATATATTCATTCACGATAGGACGTGGGAGGTGTTGTTGCAGATTATTTATTTATGGTTTTCGTGACAATAACGTACATCGTTCTCCACCTCCGGGGATCTTTCATCAAAGGTCGAAGTCGTGCTAGTTGGTGTAGTACCAACTGATTATTTATAATGATCTGTAAAAATGTCGAAATGGACAAAAGGTCATTGCAGAATCAAAAACTATATGACTAACAACAAATAATATGCCTGTAGAAATCCGTTTCAAACTTGCACTCTAATTATTTTTAAATGAACGTTCAGATTCATCTGTTTTTATCAGATATTTTTATATGTTTCGATGTAAGACGTACATTTTTGATGACATAACTCCATGATAGGTCCCTGTAGAAATTTGATTTTATATAACTCAATAATTTCATGAATGCAAAACTCTGAGATTTAAAAACAGAAAATTCGCTGTCGCTCATTTTATTGAGGAAATCAACAAAAGTAATATCAATGGCAACACAATCAACGGATAAAGTGTTCAAAATGATCTCCATCTAGTTCCATACAATAATACAGTCTATTTTCGAACGCATTCCTTACATTATTGAAGATGTCCGGAGTCAGAAATCAGCATTCCCGAACAATTCTCAGTCGCAGGTCTTTTAGATTAGTAGAATTCATTTATTTAATAGTTAAAGTTTTGAAATGGACGACACTGTTAGTTTTTTCTGCACTGGTAGTTTTTGTTGAATATAGTTCTAGCAGAACAAAAAGTAGATAGTTGGCCACTGTCACTTCTTCACGAATTATTATTCAGTCATCCTTGTTCAATATTTTTCAACATGGTTCATTCTACTGAAGAAAGAATATAAAATTTTGCAACCTATTATCGAAATACTGAATGTGCTAAAGTTGCTGCAAAAATTTATAATACGAATCATCCAAACCACAACGCGATCCATCAATACGTTAAACAGTTTATGGATAAATTTCGAACTGCAGGTTCTGTTCACAACAGAAAACATGAAGTATCCCGTCCTGTCAGAAATGACGGAGTTGAAGTTGCAGTTTAAGCACATGTACAAATAGATAATCTACAATCTACGAGACAAGTGGCTCGAGCGTCTGGTGTATCAGCTACTAGTGTTTTTCGGATTTTAAAAGCCTACAAATTCAAGAATTGAACGAAGATGAACCTGATCGTTGACTTCAGTTTTGTAAGGTGTTCAGCGAGAAATTGACCAATAATCCAAACCTATTAGGTATACAATACATGTTTTTGGGATGAAATTTCTTTGATGTTGAATGGCGAAGTGAATAGACATAATTGTCGTTACTAGAGAGACGCGAATCCTCATTTGGTGATGGAAACACATTCATAAACTCCACAAAAATTGACTGTCTGGGCCGGCATTCTTGATAATCATATTGTTGCTATCTCAATGGAGACACATACTCAAATATATTACACGACTGTGTAGATCCTATGATTACACAACTTTTAGAAAATGATGATAATTTACTAGAAAATGAAATAACATTCCAGCAGGATGGTGGATCCCCACTTTTTGATGTTCGAGTGAGACACTTTTTGAACGAACGTTTTCCAATGCGTTGAGTCGGCAGAAGGGGTCCAGTGAAGTGGCCAGCTACATCACCTGATCTCACACCGATGGACTTGTTTCTGTGGGGACACCTGAATTCGAAAGTGTACTCTATTGAGCCTACAAATGCCAATTGCTGACTCCCGACACCTTGAATAATGTACGGAACGCTTTCTAGAGTACACTCTATTATTGTATGAACTAGGTGGAGGTCATTTTGAACAATTTATCCGTTGATTTTGTTTCCACTGATATCATTTGTTTCTGATTTCCTCATTAAAATGAAAGACAGCGAATTTTCGGTTTTTTAAAAAAAAAAGTTCAACATTCAATTTGACAATAACGAATGAACCAATTTCGTGAAAAATTACAGAGGTAATAGAGGGACAAAATACCTTTAAAATGATGTATCACTCGACCCCCTATGCCATGGAAAAAAACAGGGTAGACTTTTCAGAAACACATAATATATATGCCGTTTTATAAAGAACCAAAATAATCAGTCTTTTTTGCATTTCCGAAATGATGTTTTCAAAACTTCTTAATTCAAATATTTGTTGAGTTTCGCGAAAGAAAGGTTTTGGCTTTCTACTTCTCCATCTTCATACATTTTTTTGTTTCAAGATGGAGAAGTAGAAAGCCAAAATATTTTTTCCCAAAAATTAATGTCCCTAAAATATACCCTTTTCAGTTTTGTTGATATTCCTTTTTGTACGAAAACATAACACTCCCGTTTTGTTGACATACAGACTTTTCAATTATTGAAAAAATACACCTTCTCATTAGCGTACAAAAAATCATGAGATACGAAATATCATATTCCTGATGTTTGGAGTTCTACCAAATACTTACTTCAAATATGAAAAAATGTATATTCTAAATCTCAAAATAATGTCCATGCTCACTTATACTAAGGTTCTGTCAGATGGATCCCAAACAGCAGACAAAATCTTTCTTTACTTACAAATTGATTGAAACTACAATCATCACGTTGAAGAATTATTTATTCAACTCAGGTTGTTTGTTTCAGATAATTTTATAAGAGCTGACCTGAAAAGGTTAAAAACCTTTTTTTTGATAACACTTCCTGATTCTATTAAAAACACTTTTCACACACCAGAACAAAAATAGTGTCTCTTGATGTGCAATTCGATAACCAAGTTGGATTCATCAGGAAATGACTGAAACATGCATCGAGAGAGATAGATAGAGTAAGAGAGAGACAGAGTATTTCTGTTCTGGTGTGGAAAAAGTGTTAATAGATTCATTTTACGTCAGAGGTTCCAAATTCTACTTATCACCCTTACTGATATTTCAATAAATTTTACTCTAGTTTTACTATAATGTTAGTTGACGCTGGATATTACGCCGATATCAAGTTTTCAAATGTTACCCCATCCCCCCATGTTATACATACATACATACATACCCCCGTACACGAGTACGGCGGTATGTATGTATGTAGTAGGGAGAGTGAGTATACCCATAGCACTTAGGCCACATGTGACCCATTGTACATCCTCCCGAGGATTTGTCCTCCTAGGTCATCGTCCATCCTGTCCTTTCCAGGAAGGTGGACAGGTCATTAGGAAACATATCCTTTATATCGGCAGGTTTAGGCTAAGACTGGCCGAACACACATTCCCTTTGGCAACCTTGAGGTATCTCACGGCGGCCTCCGCGAAGGTTTTGGAAGGTGCAGCGACATTAGTGTCGTTGCGCAGCTTCTTTAACTTTCCTGGGGTTACCCTAGTGGAGGTGTTCAAGTGATGGCGTTTCCTGCAGGGGAGACCAGGTGGGTGCACTTATAGTTGCTGCCAGTCCTGCCTCTCTCGCTCTCTTTCTCCTTTTGGCCTCGGCGTCGCAAATGCGTCGCCTTTGTATCAGATCACGAGGTGATCTGCAATGTCCAGTCTCATTCCGAGCGGTAGATTGGGGTGGACATTTCTGTTCATTCCCAGCCACCGCCATAGATTGAGGTGAGCACTTCTGTCGCGATTGGTTTTTGTTGTGTCTGTTTTGTTTGTTTCATATATGTGTGTTCCCACGAGTAGCAAGGGAAGAGTTGGTCACCTCTGGCAGAGCCCCGTATTACCAGAGGAAGGCTGATTACAATGAGGTTTCGCCCGGTTCCCCAAGGAGATCGTTCGTTATCGCATATCACCATGCGGTCATTCAGCTGTCGGCACGATTCTTTACACCTGGCTGGTCCACGATGGCATGTTTCGCAAAAGCTTTTGGGGACTTTAAGTAGGGTGAGCCTACTTATTTCTGCTACTGACCAGGAGTCCGGCGATTCCGTCCGTAAGGCCACATATTGGCTTCCCGAACAGGGCCCCCAGTCCCCTAGCTGTTCCCCTATCCGCCACCTGGGGACGCGCCAGATAGATAGCCCAACCCACGGGTGTACGGTGGTTTAACAAAAGTATTTATTAATATTAACTCACTAAGTCATATATTCTGAATGCTTTGAATCTTTCTATATAATACGCCCAAAACATGGTTTCGCTATTCTACAAAAGGCATGAATTTTTCCTACGACCTACGACCTACTAATTACCAAACCGCAGACCTAAGGTTTGGTAATTAGTAGGTCGTAGGTTCAAAGTGAAGTGGAGTTCATTTTTCACATTATATTCATGATTGTAAAAATTTTAAAGTTGTGTGTAATATAAATATACTGGGAAGTGGCGAATGATATAATTGTATTTATTCATCTTTCTCATGCATATTTTTCAAGATGTTAATATGACGCTGTTTCCTATACTCAAAATTTTATATTTACTCTCCGAGACGTAAATATGATTCAGATAATGTTATGTTTATACAGTGTCTCACGACAGTTGGAACTTAACCTCACTTTCTACAATGTAATTTGGGAATTCCAATTTGAAACCCAAAATTTCAACCTGTTTTTCCTAACCTCCCAACCTAATCTGCCTCAGTCATGATTCACAATTTTCCGAATTTAAAGAAGGAATTTCTCAAATAAATGTCGAAAAAACATAAATTGTGTTTGAATTCTGAAATTTCAAATAAATATAGTTATTCTACGCCTGTTGCAATAACAATACCGAGAATTAGCAAAACGGAAGATGAGAAGCAAATAGATTATTGTATACTAACATAGATGCCAAAAGTTTTTTCCTCCACACCGGGAGCTAAGTTGCAACTGTCACTGGACGCTCCAATGTTTTGAGACTACCTACGCCTTACGTGAATAGAGTTACAATATACTTACCAATTGTTCAGTAGGGATTCAATGAACGTCAATTTTTCTATATATACGTTTCTTGTTGCAGAGTTCCTTTGAAAGAAAATATTAATTTTTTCAGATGAGAGATATGTTAGAGCGATACTGGCCTTGGGGGAGAGGGGAGGATGCTAAACCTAGGGGTTTACGCAACCTTCGACTGGAGGAACTATTTCCCAATAAGGATTATTTGAATGTGAGTTTCACGTAGATAGAAAGAAATAGAAAACTAAAACAATTGACAAGTTTTCCAAAATACCTATCAATGATGACGAAACAGAAATACCGTTTTCTGTTTCAAAACTCAACTAACCTGGTGATAGACTGGTTAATTTTGAAAATGCCATATGGCAAATCACCTTTCACTTTTCGATTTAGTGAATTGCTTTAGGATTGGAAATTGAAATCGGCTAATTTCAACACAATAGTAACGATTATATAATATGATCTGATGTAAAAAAAACTGTTCAGAGATTTCACAAAAGTCACTTTTATCAAACACTAGCGACCTGAGATGGTTTCGGAAGGATACCGGAAAATATATGTCTAGATTTTTCTGTCATGGGCACCAGCTTGTCCATGAAAAAAGTTCCCGTTTTTATTCAAAGGACGTGCTTTTGAAAATATAAGGACTGGAAGTTTTGGCTTATAGGAAGTTCTACAATAGTTTAGAACATTCGAAAATATTCGAAAGTATTCACAATTTCCCTGAATTCCACAACACCTCGGAACATTCTGGAATGTTGTGGAATGTTCGGGAATAGCCTGGAATATTTGGGAGAGTCCTGAAATATTCCTGATCATTGCTAGGTAATTCCAATTAGTCAGTAAATTTTCTATAATGAATCATATATCTATTTATTGTGGAAGTTTAGGAATATTTTATTAAAACTTTGAAATGCAACATATTCCAAATCCAATGTATTGTCTCTCCAGAGGTATTGATATTGTTTTTTGTTTTTTTTTTTCCAGGCGAAACGATTTGTTGGAACATTAGATTCAGGAAGAGGTGGTGGTGGAGCGCCAGTCTTCAATAAGGGAAAGCAAATAACAAGAACACGTGAAGATCCTATTTTGAGATTTCAGTTCGGTAGTAAAGATCTCCGGCGATGTGTAGATAATACTCTGAGGTATAAAACGAACAAAGAAGATCAGCAAGAATATAAAAAAGATCTAGGTATGGATTGGTTTGATTTTGATTCTGTATAATACGCACTCACATATAAATTGCATGTGCCACATCGAACTTCAATCAAAACTTGGAGGTGAAGGAAAGAGGCTATTGAAAAATTTTTCGTGGACAAGTTTGGGATATCAATTTACATTACACCAAGATGTACGTTTACGAAAAGAAGAGTGAATTATCAAAGTTAGGTTAATTCCGTCAGGAAAGTACTTGAAATTCATGTAGTTCAGTCCAGAAGTCAAGCCAAAACTAATGCCGACAACTTGATCTACTCAACCGTCCCCGATTGAGTAGATCAACCGGGGATGGTTGAGTAAATATTTTATTTTTTTCAAAATATCCATGAGGATATTTTTTTTTTTCATTTTCTCCATGAAGAATAATCTCTACAACAAACAAAAACATGTTTCCAGAACAGATTTTTCGAATTTTCTTCTGACAAAATTCTCTGAACCACAAAATAACTTATTGCTCAATGGTAATTATACAGAGATAATGTGGGATTAAAATTTTGAGAACAATAGTTTATTAATTTTTAGATACAGATTTTAATGATTTTCATATATTCCACCAAAAGTTTTCGGTTCTATCGATACCGAATGCCTGATAGTTGATAATGAAAGTTTCTATGTAGATCATTTCCATATGAGGGTGATCAATAATTTTTATGAAGCTTTTTGTAAGAAAATAATTTTCACGCTTTCAAGATTGAAACTACCAGACAAATTACCATAATGAAAATCTCTCCATTTGATACTCTCAATAGGAGAGGTCTCCTGAAGATATTAATTTGACTCAAATTTATATCAACTACAAATCTACAATTTAATTTTTTCTGGAGAAGTTGGTTGTAATGAATAAAACATTGTTTATCGTTATTTTTGTTCTAATCAACCGCTTGGTTCCAAATATCATCTCATGAAGCTGCTTTTCAAGAGAAGTTCATCTGTGTTACATTACAAAAACAAAAACTGTTTTTCGAGGTCTGATGCGTACAGTGAAAAAATATTTGATTGTTCTTTTTTCAATAGTAAATATCTTTTTAAAGTCCCCTCATAACAAACGTACTTCATCTTTGGCATAAATCCAAATGTTGAAAGTAATAATGACCCTTCGTAAAAAAATCTGAGTTCGATACACCAACCTTTCCCTGAGTCCCCTGATTGCTTTTAAAGACTGATATTTTATCTGTTTAATCAAACTACACACATTCAAAAACAAACAGGGAGAGGCCAGTAACATGTTTCTTGTTAATTCCTGGCACAATTCCATATAAATCACGTACAAAATGGGTCAACAGATATTGTGGATTATAAATGGGTTATTATGAAGGTGGAAGTTAGGTTAGGTTGCAAGTGAGTGTATCTATTCGACCCTCCACCGCAACTCGCAAGTGTTAATTGTGGCTTAAACCTATTCATACTTGACAAAATGAGTACAGCTTTTTAACGTAGCTGATTTGTTTGTATGCTGAGTAGTCTTTCAGGTCAGATGATAAGAGTGCGGATCTACCAAACTCTGAAAACCTGATTCAATCCACAGCAGGGCAGGCACAAAGTATGTGCTCTGCTGTTTCATCATTTTCCAGAGGCGACACACACTGTCTTCCGACAGTCCGAGTCTCTGCATATGCTGATTCAGATGATAGTGACCTGTGAGAAGGCCTGACTGACATCGTAGTTGGAGTGAGCCAATCCTGGAAGATTTTGCCAGAGGTCCATAAATTTTCTTACCATCTAGGTGTTCAATGTTTGGTTGGCAAAGCCTTAAGCGATGCAAATGACAGGTTCTGGTCCAATTAATCTACTTGCAGCACCCTCCTTTGCAAGGAGCTACTATGGCCAGTATGGTAAGGAAGGCAGTGAAGGTGTAGAAAGATTACTGAAATCCAAATTCAAAAATAAAAATTTAAATAATTCCCTGACTTCAGTAGATAATTATTGAACCTATTTTCCGGGTTTTTTTGGTTGTGTTCTGTAAGGTTTTATGCCTGACGTCTACTACTGCGGTAGACATTATCAAAGGCGATGAGGTAACGGTCGCAGTGCCCGAGATGGCGCTTGGGTTGTTGTTGCATCGTTTCGGTCGCATCAACTACGATGATCATATTTGACCCTGATTTTATATCATCATTAATAGGCGTGGTTTCTCTTGATTGGATTATCTGACCTTGTTTGTGTACCTGTGAGAACAGGTAGCCAGATTTTGATCTGTTCATTTTACTTTTCTATTGACATTTTTCCGTGTTATTGAGTTGCTATTGCTTCTCTTCGAATGAGAGGCGACAATTTCTCTTGTGTTGTGTACCTATACTTTTTTTTCATTATTCCAATGTAGACCGACCCGCAGCTACAAGCCGTATAATCCTGGTATTGCTAAAGGCTCTCTGGGGTTCTTAGCTAACCTTATACTTTCTTTGATAGTAAATATTGGTTTCACGTCGTGTTTCTCTGAGATTCTCCCATTTCGTTCTGTAACTTTTTCCACATAGAGAAGGGATGCTTTTCCCTTGACTATCCTAGCTGGGATTACTTTAGCCTTCACTCTCCTGGGTCTTATATCCTGCTCGAATTCTCCTTTGCTGTACACATTCCCTTTGAAAGCATTTTTAGAAACCAACGTTTCAATCACCCCTTTCTTTTGTTATGGATTATGGTTAGAGTTTTTGTTTCATACTGAATGTTGGAGTACTACCATCTTTCAAAGTCATTCAGCTTTCTACACAGAATCATTTCCATACGATGATAAATTTATATTACTCACCATTTTCTTTAGATAAACTAGTAGAAGAGAAGAAACAAAAGGAGAAACAGGAGAAAGCAGAATTCCGAAAGTTTCATCAACAACAAGTAAGTGACTTTTTACGAGGGAGGCATTTTTTGTAATGATTTTGAAGTTTTTGAAGTCTCCTCCTTGGGGATGGCATGGACCTGGTGGAAGACAGTGGAGAAAACCTAATACAATAGGCCTGAATTTTCTGAAATCATTGGTACGCTACACATTTAGTGTGGCTTATTGATAGACTTAGAGACATTGTCAGTATGCGGGAATATACAGTGTGATGAAACTCAAGTCGGCACTATTGCTAACTTCTTGATTGTCGAAAATACGAGTTAGGTTGAATTAGAGAACTAGTGGTGTTTTTTCTGCTGATCAACGTGGTGCTAAAAAGGACAATTGAACGTTGCTTTTTTTATTTTAAATAAGACAGCCTATATATTTTTAACTTAATTCATTGAATGTTATCCTAGAACCAAAAATATTGAGTGTAATATTTAATATTCAAATTATTGTACAAACTTGAATTGAATGTTCGAATATATCTCATCCTTGCTCAATACATTTTATGCACACTTGAAAACCTTTCTTGTAGCCTTTGAAATGATATTTTGAATCAATAGAGTATTTTTTCTGATAAAATAGAACTCAAGACGGTATTTTTTGTTTTTGTTTTGTTTTTTATTCTGAACATGACGGACAGCATTAAAATGACGTTTCCATATTACGTTTTTTTTGAGACGATATCTCTACTTTCAGTGTTGTTTGAATATAACAGCATCTGAATCACATTTACGCCTTGTAGAGTATATACAAAAGGTGATGTGAATTTTGAGTATAGGAAACAGCGTCATATTAACATCATGAAAAATATGCATGAAAAAAAATGAGTCAATATCATTTCTACTATATTTATATCATACACAACCTTACAATGCTAACAATCATGAATATAATGTGAAAAATAAACTACACATCGCTTTAAACCTACGACCTACCAATTATAAAACCACAGACCTTATAAGGAAAAAATCATGCCTTTTGTAGAAAAGCGGAATCACTTTTTGCTTTTCAATTTGAGGAAAGGCATGTATTTAACTTAGGTATATTAAAACGTATACAAGTGTACACAGCGTATTCAGAGCGTTCCAACGAAAACTTGACCCCTCCTGTAAGTCAGAAACGGACTTGTAATCTAAAATTCCAAAAACACTTCAATTTTTATTTCTAGTGGGACTGATTCTGATATGGAAATCATACCCGAAATTTCACCCCCCTGCGGTCAGTAACTACCACCCTATTTTTCCAATGGCATGGGGGGTCGAGTAATACATAATTTGAAAGAACTTTCGTTCCTCTATTACTTCTGTAATTTTTTTCGAAATTTGTTCATTAGTTATTGAGAAATTGAATATTGAACAGCAAATA